TTAAGGGTTAATAGGGTTGGGGCCATTCTAATCTCTGAAGGGAGGATATTCTATAGATCAGGAGCCATTGCGGAAAAAACATGACTTATAGTCCCTACCAGTTGACAATCTTTGTCTGACAGGATCTATGGCATGCACAATCTGTTATATTAAGTTTGATGGGTAAAGTCTCTTGGAGAAAGGTTATCTCTCAGGTAATCAGGTACCAAGCTAACTATCACTTTGAATGGCACTTGGAAGCACACCAGTAACCAACGGAGCTCACATGGAATTGATGTTATGTATGGTGTACATTTGGCACTATTTAATACCCCCATAGCCACATTCTGTAGCACTTCAAGTTTGTAAATGCTCTTCAGGGGTTTCAATGAGAGGTTACAATGGTATGAGTCAGCAGGGAATGGATGCAATTGGTGTACCACCCAAAAGTGTGCAAAGGCTCTTCAATCTACAGCTGCCACTTGTGCACTGGGTTTGTCTAGGGTAGTGCAACCCCATCCAGTACTAAAGATGGAAGAATCTTGTGCCTCGGGGGTGGGGGGGAATACCCACAGCCATTCTGTCTTCCTCAGGTTGCATTAGAACCTGTTTTACCCCATCAGGTTCCCAACAGCCTCTAGACCAGTGATGGCGAACCTTTTTTGGCTTGCGTGTCAAAAATGGGGGGAGCGCAGGGGGGGTTATGCATGGGCATGCCACACCCATAATGCTATGCGCATGACCACAGCACACATACGTGCACAACCAGCATTCCCCCCTTTTTGGCATGCTATTTTCATACTCCCCAAGCTCCAGAGCTCCAGAGGAGCTTCCATGAAGCCTCTGGAGCACGAAAAACCGGCCCTACGGGCAAACCGGAACTTTGGGAATGGACTTCCAGTTTGCTTGTAGGGCTGGTTTTAGCCCTCTGGAGCCTTCAGGTGCCTCCAGGAGGCTTCCCTCTTGAAGTGAGGCTTCCCTCTGGGAGTCACTTCCTGTTTGCTCGTAGTGTCGTTTTTTGCCCTCTGGAGCCTTCAGGGAAGCCTCCAGATGCCTCCTGAATGCTCCGGAGGGCTAAAATGAACCCTACGAACAAACTGGAAGTCCGTTCCTGAAATTGTAGTTTGCCCATAGGGCTGGTTTTTCACGCTTTGAAGGCTTTAGGAAGCCTCCAGGGGGCGAGAAATGGCCTCAAAAAAAGGCCAAAGTCAGCTGGCCAGTGCATGTGCCCTGACAGCTCTGCGTGCCATTGTGGCATGCGTGCCATAGATTCGACATCACGGTTCCATATCAATTCCTTGGTGGACTTTCTCCTCAGAATGAATTTTAAACCCCCAAAAAACTTTCTGGAAGGCACATGTCTGTTCTACTCAGATGACACAACATTATTTTCAAGAATATCTATTGGCCTTAAAACAGCATTAAAAGCATGAGCAGAGTACTGCAGAGAATACTAACACACTCAATTATAAAAAAACTAGAATCATGGCAATTGCCAAAAGGCCCAAGAGTCACTCCTGGAATTTAGATGGGTAGAATACTGAGTAGGTATCCTGTTTCAATTCTGGGTGTTGTCCTTCACTCTGCTAGCAGTAGGAAAACTCATAGGGATATGAGTGTAATAAAGAAACAAGGAGACCCATGGGGACTATATTGCTGAAAATGCACAGAGGAACACAACTGCCATACTCAAATTTCTCCAGATAAGAAGTGACCACTACATACTTACAGCACTCAAACTATTCGTAGCCAAGCCAATAACACAAATTCTTTACAGAATGCAGGTGGGCCATTTTACAATTTTGCATCATTACAATATGTTCAATCCAAATTTCTAACACTGGCCCCTTGAGATTCTCAAATGTGGTTCTAATGCCTCCCTGAGATTGGAGAAAGGCTCATGAAAATGGAGGCAAGAGTGTGGGTCACCATACTCAATTATTGGCTCAAAGTCTCATTTTTCTCATTGACCTTGCCTCACTAACTGTGAGAGATGATTTTCAATCCACATGAAAAAGGCCATTGCAACTAAAGCCTCATCCTTGGGCTTCTCTACAAGTCTTCCATTGAGCACAGGATATGATCAAGCTAAAGCTCTCATCAAACAGCATATAGCAGACACAGAGCCCCAGTTGGATCTAGCCAGGTCCTTACTTTTTATTCATGATGAAAGTTGGTGAATGAATGAACCTATCAGAATGAACCTGATAGGCTCTCTGTCTCTCTCATGACATCTTTAACAACCTTGAAGTACCTAGACACTGGATGGCCTTCATGTTTATACAATGGTATGCCTCCGCTAACCTATCCTTGAAAGCCAATACAGAGAAATTTCCTACCTGGAGAGACAATGTCTCTTGTTTGTAACTCACTCACATCCCTATGCTGACCTATGACCATAATAACGATTTTATTTATTGACTCACTTTAGTTAATTTTGATTTGACGGCTTTCAGACAACTATGGACAACTTCTTCACCTAGGATGAGGAATCTTGAAGATTACAGTGCCTAATGAGGGCAGCAGAAAGCGAACTCATCCATCTTCTTCCTTTTGACAGACCATTCTCTTAAGCATTCCTGGATTTCAATTATACTTTTTAAAGCTCCTGTTTTGCTTCAGCTCTCTAAACGTTGACCGGTTGGTTGAATACTGATTTATTTTAATCCCCTGCTGGATTTTATCCATTTCTTTCTTGTTCTTTTCCTTTTGTGGTTTTTTAAACTTTTTTTGAATAACCTTTGTCTTCTGAAAGGGAAACACAGCATGCCTTGCAGTAGTGGAAATGTTTGGACTTGATTTACAGCTATATTGGACTGTCACTACACTTTGGAGATTATTTCTTTAAAAATATTTTTATCCTGGACCAAAAATATTTTCCCTGGGAGTGTGGCCATTAATATTGTAGAGAGATGACAGGTTAATGATTTATAAACAGAATCATAAATTTGAAAATATGGGGGGCCTGTTTCATAAAGGGTGGGAAACCAATATTGTTATAATATATTTATATTATAAATATATTTATTTATAATATGTGTATGTGTGCATTTTTTAAAATGTTTTGATCCTTTTCTGTTTGTTTGTTCCTGTGGATTTTCTACTGTTTTGGAGCTTTGCATTTTCTTTTTGAATAAAAATAAAAATCATTATGAAAAAAGTAATTCCTTTTTTTATTTTTCTCTTCAGTTTATAGTTTCTCTTGTTGTTTCTCTTTCTTTGAATTTTTCTGTAAACTTTGTTTAAATGAATAATTATAATAAGTTTAAAGAGTTGCCATTGTGAATTCTACATTCCACAGATGTTTTTCTAGAAAAGGTCCTGAAATAAGTGATGGTTGTAACTGAACCTCTAAGGGCCCTCAACATGGAAGACAAATGCTTACCTGGAGATCACAGGTAACCTCATGGTGTGGTGCTCCCCCCTTTTTAAGATGAAACTCCCTTTGGAGGAATTAAGAAAAATCTTTCGGTATGATACCAATTCTCCACCTTCAGATCATCAAGAGGAAAGACTCAGTTTAAATACTCCCACAGGGAATGGAGAGAACCTAATTTAAAGAAGTATTGTCCTCACCTTCCTCAGGAAAATACAAGGCTCCCATATAGGGTGTTCTGTTGGCTTGTCCAAAGCAAGAAAACATACTCAGCTTCATTCAGGTACGTTTGGAATATCTGGGAATAATTTAGATAGATGTCCAACAAGATTCTATGATTATTCCAATTAGGACTTAACCAATGCTCACATATCCCTTTTTGTTACCTCTAATTGTCAAGGGTGTCAGAGCCATGCAACAACCCATCCATTTCTGTCCTGTGAATAGTGGAACGTGTTCAAAAATAATTCACTTTTCACTTTTCCAATTTCTGCTTCCCTCCAAAAGCAGCACCATGCATCATGTGCATAGCGTCACTTCTTCCAGGATTTTCTCGAAAAGAAATACTATCTCTGACAAGAGGCTTAGATTGGGAGTTGTAAGACAAATTCCAGGCAGAGAGTTCTGAGAAAGGGAAAGGTGTTCATAGCCCTTCTTCAAAATGTTTAATTAACTGAACTTCCCTGAAGTAGAAAGGGAGCTGTCCACACCTCTGAGGAAAGGGAACAATAATATGGACCTAAACATGCAGTTGCAGTAGGGAAGTGGAAGTGACTGTTTTCTGCTGCTTCTCTGGCTGGAAATGAGGTCACTCAATGGGACCAGGGAGAGGAGTGGACATTCTCTTTAGGCCACAAGAAAGATCCTTCAATGAATCAAACAGTTTACACAAAACTGGACACTCTCCTTTGTTTATTGATTGTATTGATATTATGCTTTTTCAAGGGGAGCTTGAATGGCTATCAGAGTGGAGCAGTCAACTTCAGGTAGCCAACTTGTAATTCTCTTTAAAAGAGAGAAAATCTATTGCTTTTTTTCTTTTTTCCCATGCTTAGGGAAATCCTGTTTGGTCTTTTTTTAGCTGGGGTGTGCCAAATCTGGTGAAATTTGGAAAGGAAAGCTTCAGTGCAATTACACATGTGGGTGCAATCAAATAGAACATCTTAGCCAGGGTTGGTAAATATATATATATATATATATATAAATATGGAATTTTGTAACAAAGATCATGGCATGTCAATGAAACCAAGTTATAGCTGCAATGCTCTGCAAAACATAGGGATTGTATGACTAAGAAAAGCTTCAGAGAAGATAGAAGAAATATTTCAATGGTCTTAATACGAATCTTAAGAATTATGTTGGTTCTGGAAATACAAGGAACTTTTCAAGAAAGGAGGGCAGGCCCATATCATGTAATTTGGAGATCAGGATATTTTAGAGAACAGAAGGAAGGGAGAGATTTAGGCATGGAGAAAATGACTCCAAGAAACTGAGATTTGGAAAAGATTTAGGAGAGATTTAGTAACTGATGCTAACTAAGGAACTGAACTCACAATGCAGGTAAGCTGCAAATATTGAACCCGGAAAGGTATCCCAGTAAGTGANACTTGTTTTTCCTCTCTAAATAGGTTATGCTTGGAAAAAG